CTTGACATGACCACCAACAAAAAGGATGCCAGGCGAGTCTGAATGGCACATGTAATTCTTCTGAAACTCTGTCCCCAAATCCCTTTGCCTAACCTCTTCTCCAGCAGATTTTAAAGACCTCCTGAAAACATACCTCCTTGACCGCTTCTGTGATCACCTCCCTTCTCCCCACACCACCCCTGCTGTGACTCTGTGAGGTGCTTCAAGACCTTACCCTGTGTGAAAGGCGCTACAGAAATGCAAGTTGGTGTTGTTGCCAGGGTGATCATCTCAGAACTGGGCGCATATGAAATGCAGATCCTAAGAAAATTCCAAGTAGGACTTCTCTGTGTATCCCAGCTGCTTTGATGCCCTTATGACTTCTTCACAAATTGTCTGGATACAGATACACAGAAAAATAAATCATCAGCAATAAACACACACAAGATGCAATTTTTTATTGTCTATTCTCAGGGGTCCAGTAACTATTCCATGAGGCGTTTGCACCATTATTTAAACACCATTTGTTGAAACAAAACTGTTCAAAGATATTAATTCAACCTGAACGGTAGACAAGATCCAATGGTACATTTCACGTTATCCGTAATGGACAGCACACAAGAGCTGTATAAGATGATGAAAAGTGCAAAGAATGAATTAAATCAAAACAAGGACATAAAAGATTAGTAACATTATATCAGAGTAAATATGGCAAACTATTACATTAACTAAGGAAAAACAAGCTAACTGTTTCAAGCTTATATCAATAGGAACAAAGTGGTGAGTGGGTAAGACAGTAACAAACTGTAATGGGCCAACGGCATCCCATACGCACCAGTTGTAGTTAGTTTTTTTTATTTAAACTGGAATCTTTTATGCCCTGGTTTTGATTAAATTCATTCTTAGCACTTTTGATTATCTTTCTTGAAGTGAAGTGAAATACAGTTATCGATGGTGCAAATTAAGTTACAAAATACAAAAAACACTGCATATTATAGCACCTTTTCCATCAAACCCTCTTCATAGGTAATTACTGTCATGTGAAGCGATTTTGCTTTTGATAAGCAAAGCTGGCAGCCATTTACACACAGCAAAGTCCCACAAAAGCAGCCACGAGGTGCTTGGTCAATTTATCTAGTGCCATGTTTTAACGTTAACCTGAATAGAGAGATGAGTTAAACCTCAGTTTAAAATCCCATTTGTGAAATGGCATCACCAACAATTCAGCACTGCACTAGGGTCCAAACCAGGACTGTGAGTTTTCAAGTACCAAAATGGGGTTTGAAATTCACAACCTTCTGATCCAGAAGTGAGAGCATTACAAACCGAGCCAAGCAATACAGAAACAGGAGTAGGCCATTCAACCCCTCAAGTCTGTTCCGCCATTCTATCAGATCATGGCTGATCTGTACCTCAACTCCAATTACCCACCTTTTCCCCATATCCCTTGATATCCTTACCCAACAAAAAATCTATCCATCTCGGTCTTGAAAATTTGAATGGATCCAGCATTCACAGTTCTTTTGGGGGAAAGAGTTCCAAATTTCCACTACCCTTTGCCTGAAAAAATGTTTCCTGACTTCACTCCCAAATGGTCTGACTCCAGTGTTAAGATTATGCCCTTTTTTCTGGAGTCCCCCTTCAGAGGAAAAAGTTTCTCTGTAGCTATCCTATCAAATCCCCTTATCATTTTAAACCCTCAATCAGATCACCCCTCAACCTTCTAAATTCAAGGGAATACAGACCAAGTTCATGCATAATAAACTTGATATTAAATGCATTTGATATTAAACTTACAATATTTTTCTTTCTTTACACATGAAGCACAAAATCTCTTTACATGTGAGGCACGGATACTCTTCAATATTGTTACTTTTTTTGCCTCTCCCAGTCAAACAAACCATTTGACTGGAAGGTCAGTACGTCAGTTACTGCCCTCACAGGAGTACACAGCATGCAAAGCCATATTCTCTGGAGCCCACAGACTGAACCCACAGGTTATATCCCACTCATCAGCGTATAGTATCAGCCAAATGTACTCAAGTATATAAGATCTTTATTTTCTGTGCATCTGCAAATTGAAGGCCCCATCTAGAGCATTGCATTCAGTTTTGGGCAACTGGGTCGCTTGTTTCCGTGCATGCAACTGATAAAAGCTACCTCACTTGTGAGATATTATGGTGGCTTCAATGACTGAATTAAAAATCTCATCATCTACACATGCACAAAATATTCTCCAGTTAATGTGTAGCCACTTTGCAGTAAGCAGTGTGTAGGATGATATGAGTCTTTGGTCTGCCAGATTATATTTCTGTCAAGGCATTCAAGAGAATCATCAAGTGTCAGAGGAAAACAACAACTTGCATTTATATATTGCCCTTCCACGTGAAGTCACGTCTCGGAGCGCTGTAAAGGTGGAAGAGAAGAGCCAAGGTTACTTATAAAGAGGGAAGTTTTATTGTGTTTTTTCTTTCACCTTTCCTAATAACTAATATGTGTCGAGAAAATTGAGCACGTCACTCAAGCTTTTCTGCCACTTCCTTTTGAACCTGTCTTCCACTGTTATTTTGGTTCAATAAGTAGCCTTCTCACCTCTTGGTAGAAGGTTATGAATTAAAGACCCACATTGTGACTTGAACTCAAACTCTAGGATGACATTCCAATTTAGTACTACACTATTGCCATATGAAAAGAGTCGAGAGTTTTTCGACTACTTGTGAGGCCTTGCCAATACAATTGACTGTCATATTTACCTATAAATTTACTTGTGAAACCTTTTGAGATGATCCAACACTATGAGGTGCAATAAAAATGCATGAGGCATGAAATCTCTTTGCACATGAATCACAGAATCTCTGTTTATCTAGAATTTCAAAAAAAATTGCATTTGGTATTGTTACTGTTGCTTTGTGTGATATAACTAACTCTCTGTTGGCACAAGTTCACTCCCTTTATCATCAATAGCCCAAATCTACATGGAACATAATGAGCGGATTATAGAAATATTCTGATCAAACCAAAATCTGAGATTTCAGATGACACTCACAAACATCAAAAGGGACCAATTTTAAAATGTTCTCAGGAAGATCGATGTTATACACCCAAAGTCATCATTCTTGATAAATATTCAATTCATCTCACCAAAGAAGATCCTAAACTCTGCACTGCACCTTCTTTGTACGATATGACTTTAAGTACGCGGTGCAATGTACAAAGTGGCAACTTGGAAGCAACTGGTGGAATTTGTTGTGAACAAAAGGAAAGAAGAGGAAAAAAAGTTTCTACTAGAAAATGAAGGTGTTAAAACATATGTGCCTGCCACAAGCCAGACCTTTCCCAGTCACAGGCAGAACGTGCATTTATGTGACACAAGGGGTGGGGTTGGGAGGAAGCACAGGCCTCCTGCTGTAAAACCTATAATATCCCTTGGAATCCATAGTTTACTCTATGTGAAAGGTGCTATACGAATGCAAGCTGTTTTCATTCTGGAAAGAGAAGCAAATTACACTTACGAGTGAAATTGAATATTCTCAGATTTAATCCTGATATACTTTGAATAATTTGCTTAGAAATGTTTTTTTGGCTCAGTCAATTTAGAAATCTTTCTTCTGCAGCACATGCATTTAATCATACATAAAGTAATGCAATTTAAACAAAGCAGGAAACAATCAAACAGAAATAGATTTTACACATTACTGATGTCTGCTGTTTCAACAGAAAAATTGCTAGAAATGCAGACTTGATTAGCTAACTATGAATTTAAGAAAATAAAGAATTAAGGCCCTTACATGCTCAATACGTGAAACTTATAGAGAAATGCAGCAAATGAGAGATTTTAGATAATGTTCAACCCAGGAATGTGCATTCAGTACAGATTGCAAAACTTAAAAGTTCTTTTCTCGTTACCAAATATTTTGGACAATATCCTTGGGGTGAGAGTTTAAATGACAATTCATATAAATTTAAAGAAATAAGAAAAACAAATCTGGTCTTTGTGTGTTTCCCATTTGTTTATTCCATGTACAGAGCTCCAGACTTCTGTCAATGGACAGTTACTGTGTTGCTTACAGCTGAGTTAATAAAAGCAGCTGTGTTTATTCAAATTTTAGGATGGATTTTTATCTGTAAACAGATTCATGGCTAATTGATGGAAAAATTCCCTTGTATGTAATCTCATCCAATTCACCATTGTTTTAATGTAAACTGTGTCTGAAGTCTCCTGAACAATATTACCATGGTATAGATCCAAAATGACTAGGTTAGTGAAGCGTGTAAAAAAAATGGTCTCTGCCACTGACTGAGCTCTTAACAGTGTCATTACATCACTGACAAGGTGTAAGTTGGAAAAATGTATACATATCAAAAGTCTAGACTGCTCAAGTCCCACACTAAGAAACACTTAATAAAACGCGAGACATCTCAAATAGGATTCCCATTAAATGAAAAAAAAGTTTTGTGGCAATATAAATACATCAGACTTGATACCCGTTTCTTCTCCCCCAACCCTCCACATTAAATAATTCTTTAAAAAAAATTGCTTCAAAAAACTTATCTGTCTGAAATTTACCCTAAATCTAAAATGTAATATTCCTGGTTATTAGAAAAACTGTGTCTGTGATGATGGATCACTGTACATGTGCACAGAGGAATTACAGGGACAGCTTGAAATCTTCCACAAAAACATCCACGTGTTGCCCAAAACTGGTACAAGATGTGTAATAGATGTGCTGAACAATGGTGTCAGCGCTGGCCCTACCTAAAACTGAAAATAAACTTTGAATACATTCATCTTGCAAAATTATGAAGCATCACATAATCCAATAAAACATCAGATTAGCAGATACTGTAAAATGCGTTTTTTAAAAAGTTATATTCAACAGTCAAAAATGTTTTGTTTTCTGGATTGTAAGGCCAGGTAGTAATGTTACTTCAAAGATATAAATCCATTTCATTCAAGTGAGACACACTGGTTCCCATTGCAGACATTATTGTGGCTACAGAACAAGTACAAGAAAGGTCACCTTCATGCGTTCCTCTCCTCCTTTGAGTTTCCCTTTGAGCATCTCTTAAAGCGGAAACATCCTGCAGGTCCATTGGCCTCCATCCTAATAAAACAGGGAACTCCAACCAATTAAGACATCTGGTCCAAGGTCAAAGGTCCTAAGATGTGCACATTTTTATTTGCCTCATTCCTTGCATTGGTTTGTCAAAGTGTTTATAATGCAGCGTTATTTTGTTATGTGCAACCAGGATACTTTAATTTTTACCTTTCTTCTACTAATGAAAAAAAATGTATTTAGTATGAAGATTCCACTATGTTTACACAAACTAAAAAAAAACACGCACTCCAGTAATGTAATTTTTGTTCATCTATTCCAGCAGTTTTCGGAATTGAAACACTATTTTTTGTCCTTTTTTTGTTTTACGACAAGAGCCTATTATTTCTTATAAAAACATTGACTCCGTCTTCAACAAGGTTCCATTCATTGCAAAGCATTCTGAAGGACAGGCTTAGTTTACATTGTCCTGGCAACTCCACTGGGGAATTTCATTTATAATATGGTTTATTAAAACTCACATTATCCCGTTTTGAATTAATCCTCAAAGATTATTTGCTTCATAATATCTAATTTAGCACATCCATGGGAAAAACAAGTTCTTTTTGAAACAGTCCCTATGCCAAAAATGTCATTCACAGAAACACAGGAACAAACTGCAGCACTTCTTCAGAATTTTATGCAACTTTCTGTCTAGCTTCCTGCCTCTGCATGTTGGTACACAATCATTCAAAAAAAAGTAGTCAAAATGTGAGGACAATACAAAACACACCAACATAAAAATGTCCCAGGAAGTTGTAAAAGTAGACAGGTCACTTTAGCAATCAGTATTCTCCAAATGAATGTCTCAACATATCAAAGGTGTAGTCAATACACCAACAAAAGAATGCAAACACTTGCCCTTTAGCAGCACCGACACACTTTATCTCAGAACTCATTCGTCGCCTGAACAAAAAACTGTTCCTTTTTCTTTTAGCTGGCAAGGATCACAAACTCCAGCGACTGTTGGGTGCCAACCGACCTCCTGAACTTTCCCCCACCTTGCCTTCTCCTGACCCCACCCGTCCCCCCAATCCCACTCCCTGCCGTATCTTCATCATTCCCTCTGACCTCCCACTTTCTGATGCCGAACGATCCGTCCTCAGTAAAGGCCTCAGCTTTAATCCCTTATGCCCCCACCTCAATGAATATCGATCCCGGCATGATGCTGAGCTCTTCTTCCGCCGCCTCTGCCTCCGTGCTCACTTCTTTGGCCAGGATACTTCCCACGTACATCGGACCCCTTCTCTTGTCTCCAGAAGTCCCACTCCACTTGGATCCCACCGCCAAGCTCCCTACCCTCCCTCGACATGTTCATTGAAAACTGCCAGCATGACATTGGTCGTGTCCAGGTCTCCACTCCCCCACTCAAACTTCTCTCCCTCTGAACGCGCTGCACTCCACTCCCTCAGGACCAATCCTAATATCATTGTTAAACTCTCTGATAAGCGAGGCACTGTTGTTGTCTGGCAAAAGGACCTCTACCTGGCAGAGGCCGAACGCCAACTCTCTGACAACTCCTCTTACCTTCCCCTGGACCATGACCCCACAGCTGAACATTAAGCCACCATTACCAAGGTAGTCAATGACCTCACCTCCTCTGGTGACCTTCCTCCTACAGCCTCCAACCTCATAGCCATTCAGCCCCGCACAGCCATCTGTACCTCCTCCCCAAGACCTACAAACAGGACTGTCCTGCTAGACCCATTGCCTCAGCCTGTTCCTGTCTCACCAAATTAATCTTGTCTTATTATGGACTCCATTTTTGCTCCCCTAGTCCAATCCCTACCCACCTAAATCCGTAACTTCTCGGACGCCCTCCGCCACTTTGACAATTTCCAGTTCCCCAATCCTGAACGTCTCCTCTTCACAATAGACATTCAGGCCCTCTACACCTCCATCCCCCACAAGGACGGCCTCCAGGCCCTCCAGATCCACCTTGGGCAACAGCAAAACCAGTCTCCATCCCCCATCACGCTCCTCCGCCTGGCTGAACTTGTTCTGACATTGAACAACTTCACATTCAATTCCAACCACTTACTTCAAATAAAAGGTGTCGCTATGGGAACCCGCATGGGTCCCAGCTACGCCTGCCTGTTTGTTGGCTACCTGGAACACTCCTTGTTCCGGTCCTACTCAGGTCCGCTCCCTGACCTGTTCCTCAGGTACATCGATGACTGTGTCAAGGCCGCTTCCTGCTCTCGCAGTGAGTTACAAGCATTTATAAATTTTGCTTCCACCTTTCAAACCTCCATAAAATTCACATGGATCATCTCTGACTCTTCCCTTCCTCGACTCACTATCTCCACGTCAGGTAACAGACTATTTACAGTTATTTTCTATAAGCCCACCAACTCCCACAGCTCCTACACCTCATCCCACCCAGCCTCCTGCAAAGACGCCATGCCATTTTCCCAGTTCCTCTGCCTCCGCCACATCTGCTCTGACAATGCAACCTTCCACGCCAGAGCATTGAGATGTCCTCACTTGTCCTCGACCAAGGACTCCCATCAACAGTAATAGCCAAGGCTCTTGACTGTGTCCGTCCTATTTCTATTTCTGGGATTTCCATATGTAGGTGGGAGGCCTGGAATTCTCAATTGGGTTTGGGGACTCTTAAACATGGTGATGGGTTTCCGCGTGTGTCAGACACCCTGACTGGGCAAAGAAAAAGGAGGAAAAAATAGAATCATTATATCTTTATTTAATCTGTCGCCTCAGTATCTAAACTGCACAACTTGGAGTGGAGTCCTGTCGCTCAGTGGTTAGAGCACTTGCCTTGCAAGCGAGACACCTGGGTTCAATTCCAGGCAGGGCGAAACCTTGGCCAAGTTTCCTTACACCACACACCTAATAATAATCCCTCCAAAACAAAACAATAATAAATTGGTCATTTTCAATCCATGACTGCTTATGGAACACTACTGTACGCAATTGGCTGCCGCGTTTCGCCCACAAATATACAGTCAATTCACTCTACAGCATATTCTGTGAAGTGCTTTGAGACGTCTCAAAGATGTGATAAGGTACTATATCAAATGCAAAGATTATTATTATTAATATCTTCTGAAGGAGTATGAAAGCTGCCAAATGCATAGAAATGGCTGTTGTGACCAGCACAGGTAGAGATGGTGGCAAGCTGCAACATGCCTGCAGGGCTTCCTGTCTACAGTGGTAGCATTCAGTCACTGCTTATCTGAAAACATAGCCTCTTGAGGCACTGCTTTTCAGACATGCCAAGGAATGAGGCTCGATTTCTTTATTTTCCGTCAGCTGGGTAATGTCCATACAGATGCTACATCTTCTGTGTCAGTGGAATTCTCCCTGCAGTCTTCACCATAACTAGCAATCGGTCCAAGTTCGTCTAGAAGACGTGAAAAGCGCTATATCAAATGCAAGGATTATTATTATTATTATTTCCCCCACCTCTGCCCTCACCCCTTCCCCCCCCCATCCCGGAACCGTGATAGGATCCCCTTAGTTCTCATCTACCACCCCACCAGCCTCAATATTCAGCACATCATTCTCCAACATTTCCAGCACCTCCAGTATGAATTATCCACCAAACACATATTTCCCTCCCCTCTCCGCATTTCAAAGGGATCGTTCCCTCTGGGATTCCTTAGTTCATTCTGCCGTCAGCACTACCAGCTGCTCTCCTTCCCCTGGCACCTTCCCATGCCAGCCCAAGAGATGTAATACCTGCCCTGTCACCTCCTCCCAGACCACTATCCAAGGCCCCAAACACAGCTTCCATGTAAAACAGTGGTTTACATGTACTACCACCAATGTAGTATATACTGCATTCGCTGCTCACGGTGTGGTCCTTCGTTCCACCGGGTCTGGCCTCCTCGTTGTCCCCCAAGTCCTCCGCTCCACCCTCGGCAGCCATGACTTCAGCCACTATGCCCCGAGGCTCTGGAACTCCCTTCCTCACTCCCTCTCTTCCTATTTTCAGGTCTCGGCTGAAGACCTTTCTTTTCGACTGCACCTTTGGTCACCTTCCTCCCCATCCCCCTGGCTCAGTCCCGGGATCCGTTACTGTGAAGCGTTCTGAGACCCCATCCGACGTGGAGAGCACTATATAAATCCAAGTTGTTGTTGGTCTCCTCTATATTGGGGAGACTAAGTGCAGATTGGGTGACCGATTTGCAGAACACCTCCATTCTGTACGCAAGATCAACCCTGATCTTCCAGTCTCCTGCCATTTTAACTCACACTCCCATTCACAGTCCGACCTCTCCATCCATGGTCTCCCAATCTGTTCCAATGATCCACAGTGAAAGCTTGAGGAACGGCATCTTATCTATCTGCTAGGGACCCTACAGCCCTCTGGCCTCAATATCGATTTCAGCCACTTCAGACGATAACAGCTCACCTTTTTCTCCCTCCCTTTCTGCTACCAGAAGAGTGAAGTCCTGTAGCTCAGTGGTTAGAGCACTCGCTTTGCAAGCGAGAGACCTGAGTTCAATTCCAGGCAGGGCGAAACCTTGGGCAAGTTTCCTTACTCCACACGCCTAATAATAATCCCTCCAAAAAAAATAATAAATTGGTCATTTTCAATCTACGACTGTTTGTGGGACATTGCTGTGCGCAATTGGCTGCCGCGTTCGCCCACAAAAATACAGTCAATTCACTTTACAGTGTGTTCTGTGAAGCACTTTGGGACGTCCTCCCGATGTGAAAAGCGCTATATCAAATGCAAGGATTATTATTATTATTAAGAGTTATCTTCTGCTATCATTACAATCAGCACCCCAGACACTCTTTGCTCTCTCTGTTGTGTGTTGCCTTTTCTGCACTATTAACACCTCTTCTCCCCAGTTTTGTTTGAACCCACTTTTGTTTTACACAATTATCACCTATTTAACCCATCAACTAACACATTCTCTCCCTTGTCTTCTTTTTTATTTCCTTTGTCTTCCTTGTCCTACCTCCCCCTCTCAACTTGTCCCTAAAAGCCTCTCCCTCCCAACATGCCCCAGTTCTAACGAAGGGTCCTGGACCCG